GGGGAGCTGGGGTGTCGGGGCCAGGGGAGGGGCGTCCCTTCGTAGCCCGGCGTTTGGGTGAAGCGGTGAGACGGCTGCGTTCGCTCGAGGTCCCAGGGGTCTGGTCTGAGGGAGGAAGGGTGCCTGCTTGGCGGCAACGGGACTGCGCTCGTATTTATCACAGAGCTTTCTCCCTAAAGGGGCTTTGTAGTTTTAACCAAGAATGAAGGGTGTTTATTGATAAAGCCTGCACCTGAGTGAAAGCCCTTAAATTTGAGAGTTCAAAGCGCCCTTGTTTTCCAGTCCCCTCAGTATATTTGTGCAGCTGATGCCTTTAATTCAGCTCCACAGACAGCATGAGTGTGCTTTGACTTTCAGTCTTTTAATTGATGTTATACTCTGTAGCTGTTGATGAGCAGCAAATTCGTGCTTTGGTAAACATATGCTACAATACATTTCTAAAAGTTAGTTCTGTTACTTAAAATTCTCAGTACAAAATTCCTTATTCGTTCTGATCGGTGAGGTAGAACACATGCTGACATCAAGTCTGTCATTGCTTTGTAATGCATAATGCTTATTCTTGAGGATCAGTTTACCAAGTGCCAGAACAATTTAACCTTTTTGTTGTTCGCCTTTGTAGATGGAAAACATCCAAACAAGCTGAAATGTCCACAAATAAATAGTCCGAACAAAAATGGAGACAAATACAGCTTTCTTGTAGAGGAATGTGCACAAGGATAAATAAAGATGCTTCAAGGAGAGCAAGAACAGTTCTTATCCTACAATGGAGAAGTCCTGGTATTTCATTTGTCAAAACCAAAACATGTAGAGGGAGCAGCTGATAAAACAGTGAACTTAAGTGTCAGAAGAATGGCATTTGACAGAGATGCTCAACTGTTCATTCAGAAATCTTCTGGAGTGTTCAACATGCATGCCAGTCACTTAGAAGTTGAAATAATTTGCTGTGGCTGCACAACAGATTCTAGAACAGGGATTATTCTTCCCTGCATTTTGATTAAAAAGAAAAAAAGGAATAATGTTGTCAAATACCTTCTATTGTTGCTTCACAGCTCAAATCAGTTTGAGCAGTCCTTTCATTTTAAATTAGATTATGAACTGAAAGAAGACATAAGGTTGTTTACTGGCCCTTCAGTCTTGTGGAGACATGCCAACAAGCTGTTCTACATCTCTTCAGACACCTGCACGGTTCTAAGTGCTCCTGCTCAGGTTTCTTCTGTTGTGTGGACAGGTGAAATTGAGGGTGAAGGTACTGTTGCTTTAGGGATAAGAACTGCTTGCCTGCTAGAGAGTGAAGATGAGGATGAGTTTTCCGCTTCAGACAGAGCCATCTGGGGTAGTGAGTTCTTTGGGTACGCAATTGAAACACAAAAAATGTTAACTGGCACGAGCTTCATGCCTCATGCTTACAGCAGGGTGGTATCTTCTGTCCATGTCTGCAAGAATCAAATGCTGAAAAAACAGCTTCGAATATCACTTGTCACTGTAACTCACAAGAATCAGCTTATTTGCTTCCAAGAAGGTCGCCCTAAAGGTGTTTGTGAACTTCCTTATGAGAAACCGTGTTCAGTTAAAACAGTTCTAACCAGTACCAATGATTTGCTATTTGTAGTGACTTTTGCCTCTGGAAATATCTGTGTTGTACAAAGGAGAGACAGCTTACAGGTATTTGTGGCTTTAAACAGCTTCCTTTTATTACTGTATCTTCTTTTGTGTATATTGTCCTATTGAAAGTTTCTACAACTGAATAGCTATATGTTTGGGTTCTAGAGATTATTTTTTGTGCTATTGTTACTTCTGTTAACCTGCTCAAGTATAAGATTGATTTGCTTTCATTGCTTACATATATATTTGCAAATAAACCCTCTATACTATTCTTTAATAATGCATTTTGTGGTGCTGAGCCAATGCTTGTGGTGCTCATTGAAGACTACCATAGTATGAAAACTTGAAATTGCTAACATGATTTGTATTAAAGTGAAGGTAAACTGATGCCATTCCAAAGCATAAACTTCTCATTGGCGTTTTAAAGCGTTTGGAGCCTCAATTCCTAGTAACAAAAGGTTTTGTTTCATGGAAATGACAAGAAGAGGCCTTGCTTTTGTTTACCGATGTCAGGACAGACAAAGTAAACTTCAAGAGTTTTGTAACACTCTGGCAAGAAGTCTTACATAATTCGGAAAATGAAAGTTTGTGCTATTTAGTTAGCATTATTGTACAAATTTGTCATTCCCTCAAACATATCTAAGTGTACAATGCAGCAAAAGATATTTCTAAATGTCAAAGGTAATGATTTTAACTGATCTGCAGGTATTAACTGTTCTAAATAAATGTTACAGCACTCAACTATTCATATGTTAAAGTACACTGAAAAGCTGTTATCTTTGTCGTCTGTGTTGTGGAAACTGACCTTTAAAGAGAAATGGCTAATTTTTCCCAGAGTTTCCTGGAGGCTCTAAATGGTGCAGTGAGTGCCTCAAACTTCTTTAAATACAGTATTCCACATGCCTGAATAGGCTGCCTCTTTATAGAAAGCAAGATTCATCAAAATTAAATCTCAAATACAATATTTATTCAAATATACATCTTTTTAAATCTCTTCTACTGTAGGTTGTTTCCAAATGGCAAAAAGTGAAGTCTGTTCTGGTGGATGATTTTATTGGCTCTGGAAATGAGCAACTGTTACTGCTTTTTAAGGATGACTCCAATACAGAAGTGTTAAGTACATTCAGAATAACAGATCTTGGAGCAGTCAACTATGCAGTAAGTTCAACTTGCTTTTTCTCAGCTACTCAGTCTGTGCTTACTAAATTAAGAAAACCTCAAGAAATCATTAAAGTAAAAATTGGATGTGTGCTGTGAAATGCCCTGAAGTTTGAATACAATGTTCCACACAGCAATTTTAAGTTACTGAAGAAATTATTCTACTTACTTGATAGCATCAACATTCTTTTGGGAAATACAAAATAACACTGTTGAAAATGCTTCACATACATAACCAGTTTGCTACAATACTTAATTTTCGGCCAGAAATTCTTACAAAAGGCCATAGTGCTTGTTCATTAACTTCTTATAACTAGGTCTTTGCATTATAAACTATCAACCTCTAATTGTTTACAGAATGTAAGATTTATCTTTTGAAATGCCTACCATGATTCTTCTGATTTTCTGTGTTTTTCCCCAGGTTTTTATAATTCTGTGTAATAGCCTGTACCTTACTTTCAGCTTTTTAATTAACTGGGGATTTGTTTTGTTTTTTTAGAGTGGTGTTAAGTATGAACATGATGTTCCTGCTGCAGCAGGATTGGAAGAGAATGGTTTGCTTACTGTCAGAGCCCTTGAAACAAGATTACAGGTTTGTACTCAATAGTTGTGCCTCCACATTCCAAGTTACATTATCATTACATTATCTAAAGGGTGAGGTTAATACTGGTTTTTATTGGAGAGGTGGTTCAAGTCTGTGCTCCATTACTTGCACAAATGCATTTGGGTCATTGGAAGGGTCTAATTGCAGTTTAATTAAACTTCTGAGATAATGCTGAAGGCATCCTGTCCAAGCTTCATAACAGAAATTTTACTCACAGATGTTTAAACTTCAGTTTAATAAAATTAGAATGTTTACTACTTTTTCTCAACATTATGTATTTTGAGATAGTGTAGTGCTATTTTTCTAGTGAGTGTTGATCAGTGGCAGTTAACTGGGAAATAAAGCATTATGGCTTGATTCTTTTTCCATGGACTGCAGTCAAGTTGGCTTTTACTTTTTGCCCAAATTAGTGACCAAGGTTATTTCACCACCTGATGTTTCTCCTATTGTTATTAGTAGTTTTATTAGGATAATTTCACAGAATAGAAGCTAAAATGTATCCTTTTAGTTAGCAGTATTTATAAAACAAGCTGAGAGGGACATTGCCAGAGTCCAAATAATCAAAGGAAATAGCTCATTGCCTTTCTTTCTTTATACTTTTCATCCTGTTAGTAAACACCAAGCATCCTATATGTTCTTTTGCATTATTGGGTGCTGACCTGTACCAAATAAGTAATAATTGACAAAATGGCAAGATTATGTAAAAAAAGAAAAAAAGACACAATACAAACAAACCACAAAAAACCCCAACAACTCTAGGGGTAGCATAAATCTCAAACTGACTAAATCATATGAGGCTACTGTTAGCTTGCTAAAAGTGCTTATGTGATAGGAGGTAATTATTTCCATCATTTGAGAATTAGTGAAAACTGAAATTAGGATATTGTGGCAGTTTTATCTTTTGCCTTTAAAAATTAAGTCATTTAACTGGCAAAAAGTTTAGTACTGGAAGAAAAGGAGAGCTATGAGCCATTAGGAAAAAAATTAAAAAGACACTTCTCTAGTTCTAATTACAAAAAGATGTCTAAAGAGGTATGCATCTTCCAAAAGATAAAACTATTGTTTGGAGAATACTGGACAATGTTTGGTTTTCTTCCCTACTGGAAGGCAGAAGAAAGTAGAACTTGGATTAATTTCAAGGCCCTCTTCAGGTCCCTTTCAACCCTACATTTTTACAGTTCTTCAGTTTGCACATTAGAGGACTATTTGCTTTCATGTGCAGAAGAGCAAACTTCCTTCTAAATGCACTTTTTTTTCCTGTTTCTGGATTCTTTTGGGTGGTCATATTTTAAAGCTAATTTATTTGCTGCTGCATTCTTTCTCTACTCATGACATTACTTTCTTCCTCTACAAAACAGAAATGAGTTTTAATCTGTCATTTGTTGCTTCTTTCACTGTTGTAACAAAGATTGTCCACCCTGCCATTGACACCTGCATGTTCTGTGTAACTTGTCTTTTGACTTTGTTCCTTTAATACATCAATTTGCTTTCAAATGTACAGCTTTGTGATATCTGTTAGGATCAAGTGAATAGCCTGTTTTGCACATTTTTTTTTCTGGAAACAAGCCACTAGCTGGAGATTTCATGTATCATCTGCTGATAAAGTTGTTCTTGCAGAAAAAGAATCTTTCATAAGACCTGATTTATAAATTTCTTATTTTAAGGTCTTTTTGTTCTCTAATTTTCAAAGCGACATGCTAGCACAGGCATAGAAGCAAGCTGAAAATCTTCCTGTTTTAATGCTGTAAATATTTGAAATTGTCATGCTGATGAAGTTGGTACAGGTATTTATTTTTTTTTTAACCTTACTGTGGTTTCATTGTTGAAATCTCCATAGTGCTGCATGTTTCCTTGAACAGTGAAGTAAATGTGCTGGTTTTTGTCATCTGATGTATAGCTGAATTTCAAGGATGATTGTTTTGATGCAGTGATGCTTAGCTTGAGAATTTCCAAAGGTTATTTAGCCCTGGAGTGGTGCTTTTTCTAAATTCAGGTCTCCTAGGAATTTGCAGTCAAATAATGTTTTGACAGTCTCTGTGGAATCTCGTCTTTTAGGCCAAAATGGAATAGCAGATGCATCCATTTTTCATATCTCTATTGCTTGCCACTTATTTCACATCTATGTATTTGTTTTCTAGCCATGTAGGACCTTCAGCAAGACTGAAGTGTGGCCCCTGCATATATATGAGTTGGAGTCATTTAAGTTATACACAGTAATGCATGGAAGTTTCAGAGTGCAGGTAGTGAAATTGAAGGTTATCAGTAGTAGCCAGCATGGATTCACCAAGGGGAAATCGTGTTAGACTAATCTGTTAGCCTTCTATGATTTACTGGATGGGTAGATGGAGGGAGAGCAATGGATGTACTCTGCCTTGATCTTAGCAAGGTTTTGACACTGTCTCCCATAACATCCTCATGGATAAGCTCAGGAAGTGTGGGTTGGAAGAGTGGTCGGTGAGATGGATTGAAAACTGGCTAAACAGCAGACAAACACCAGAGCTCAGAGGGTCCTGGTCAATGGTGCAGAGTCCAGTTGTAGAGCATTAACTAGTGGAGTTCCTCGGGGGTCACTGCTGGGTCCAGTCTTATTCAGCATCTTCATAAACTACCTGGATGAGGGGACAGAGTGTATCCCTAGGAAGTTTGCTGATGATACAAATCTGGAAGGATTGGTTGATTCACTTTGAGGCCATTCTGTGAGACCTGGACAGACTGGAGAGCTGGGCAAAGAGGAACATAATGCAGTTTGAAAAGTAGAGTCCTGCATCTTGGGAGGAATAACACCATTCACCAGTTAGGGGTCCGCCTGCTAGAAAGCAGCTCCATGGAGAAGGTCCTTGGAGTCCTGATGGACAGTAAGTTATCCATGGGACAGTAATGTGCCCTTGTGGCCAAGAAAGCTGATGGTATCCTGGGGTGCATTAAGAAGAGTGGGTCCAGCAGGTTGTGGGAAATTCTCCTCCCCCTCTATTCTGCTCTAGTGAGACCACACCTGGAGTATTGTCCAGTTCTGGGCTCCCCAGTTCCAGAAGGATAAGGTTATATTTTAGAGTCCAATGAAGGGCTATGAGGATGATTAAGGAACTGGATTAAGGAACTGGAACTGGTCTTATGAGGGAAGGCCGAGAGACCTCGGGCTGTTTAGTCTAGAGAAGAGAAGCCTGAGAGTGAATCTTAATAATGTATTCAAATATCTGAAGGGTGGGTGTCAAGAAGAGTGGGCCAGTCTCTCTTCAGTGGTACCTTGTGATTGGACAAGGAGCAAAGGAAAAAAAATGCAACACAGGAAGTTTCACCTCAACATGAGGAAAAACTTCTTTAGTATAGGGGTGAAGGAGCACTGGAACAGGCTGCCTGGAGAGATGATGGAGTCTCCCTCTCAGGAGACTTTCTTGACTCGTTTGGATGAGTTTCTGTGTGACCTGCCCTAGGATCGTGCTCTGTCAGGGGGGTTGGACTTGATGATCTCCCAAGGTCCCTTCCAACCCCTACCATTCTATGGTATCAATCTGTGTGCTTTTGATCTATTCTGTTATCTTGTGTCCAGTCTGGTGAACCTGAAACCAGCCTTTTCTCCTCACAAGGTTTTCTTCTTTAACACTCCTTATAGTATCCTCTGAAGAAGACTTCCTTTGACAGAGCACTGCAGTTACAGTACAACAGCTGAGATTACAGGGTTTCTCACAGTTTAGTTGACTGTTTTGGCAGAAATGCCACAAAGTAGAAGTGGGTTTTTTTATGTCCGTTGACCTGTTCTCCCTTCAAGTATTGAACAGTTTTGTAAGGATTATATTGCCAAAATATTTTTATTAACTAGTTTCCTTTGACTTGGTTAGCCTGTTTTCACACAGGTATGTTTTTAATCCTTACTGCTGATTCATTGAATTGCTACAAGATCTAATTGTTTTGTTCTATGATGATGATTTGGAGGTGGGTAGAAAATTGTTTAAGATGTGTTCTGTATGTTTGACTTTTATTACTGTTTTTAGGGCAAATTTTAAGTATTTTTCTTTCTGTTGCTGTGGGTTGGCTCATTTTATTTTGTATGTTTTTTCATAAGGGATTTTAGGCAATTGAAAAACTTAGAACCAATTATCATATGAGCAGCTTCAGCCTATAGATCTCTGAATCCTTTCCATTTGATTTCCTTTTTAGAAGTTTCACAGTTCTTGGCTCAGTAGTTTTAGCTCTGTATGTGTGGGTATTTATTTATGAATACTGCAACTTTAATTGCACTTTGTCAAATCACTTTGCTGCTCTCCTTACTTCTAAGCCTTAATTTGCATTGCTTTTGACAGTGGCTCATCTTGTCTGCTGTTAATGCTGCGTTTACTCACAACTCTATTGTGTTCAGCTCTGGACTGCTTTGTTTTTATGTTGATGTTTCCTTTCTATTTTAAGGTGATCTAGTTTTATTTTCTTAGTTTCACAGTGCAAAGATTATGACTTCTATTGATGCTTGTTGCTCAGTGCATCTTCGTATCTGGCAGAAAGGATGTGCATGTCACTTGATGTCTCTTGTTTCAGAGAGGGTTGATGGGGGGTGCTACTCAGTCCTGGATTGGCCATGTACATTTCAGGCCTCTTTCTTCAGTTGCTTTGTGGGGCAAAGGGGTTTGCAAAAGACAGATTGGTCAGTAAGTATACATCAGTGAATCTTTTGTCATTTTGAATGTTTGTCTGTCTCTTCTTTCCCATTAACTTTCTCTTTCTCTGTTGCTTATTCGGTAGTTACTCACCAGTGGGAGTAAGTAATGGTTCGGTATTCTTAAGAACTCAATTAGAAAGGTATTATAGACACATCTTTATTCTTAAGTCTTCTCTTAACCCAAGACTGGCACTGGTTTATTGCTTGGAATATGGTACTTATAATGCATGGTTTGATCAGTGGCAAATATTTTATTTACAGAACTTACCATGATCAGTGCTACTTGCTTTAAAGGCCCTTTGCCATTGCAGCTTGAGTATCACTTTTCTTACATGACCTGCAGGATTGTGACCTGATTATAATTGATCCTAAATTGGGTTTTTTGTTAATTTTTAGGTTTGATTAATTCAAAGATGGATGGGGGGGGGGGAAGTTTGCTTTTGCATTCTAATGGTGAGATTTTTTGTCCCTTTGGCAGCACTGGACTTTTCAGGATCTTGTTTTCTAGAAAATAGCTTTTATGGACCTTTTGCAAAATCTTAGAAGCTGATGCTGGCATGCTTTTTTTTTTAATTATTTTTTTATACTGAGTCTAGCCTGCATGTATGTCTATTTGTAAAACTATCAACTCTTTAATATATGTACTTGACAATGCAAGTCAATTGCAAGTCAATCAATGCAAGTCTGGAGAAGAAATCAAAATTGATATATTCCAGCCGAAGATTAAATTGTGAACAGTAATGAAAGAGACAAAAAAGTCTATAATTTGATAAAGTTTACCTTAGATATATATCTAAAACTCTGGGTTTAATATTGAGAGCTCAAGGCTTATTTTGGCAGTAGAGTAGCCTGACTTGAACATTTTTTTAGAAGCATTACTTCAGGAACACAAGGACCTTAGCTTGTGATACTTTCATAAAAATGAATATCTAAAAAGAATCATAGAAGTGCTTTGGTTGAAAAATACCTTTAAGATCATCAAGTCCAACCATTAATCCAGCACTGCCAAGTCCACCACTAAACCATGTCCCAGCACACCTACATGTCTTTTAAATACCTCCAGGAATGGTGACTACGTTACTTCTCTGGAGCCTGTTCTGGTGCCTGACAACCCTTTCAGAGAAGAAATTTTTCCTAGTACCCAATCTAAACCTCCACTGGCACAAGTTGAGGCCATTTTGTCTAGTTCTATTGTTTGTTACTTGGGAGAAGAGACCAGCCTCCACCTTGCTACAACCTCCTTTCACGTAGTTGTAGAGACTGATATATGATCTCTTCAGCCTCTTTTTCTTCAGACTGAACAACCCCAGTTCCACAACCTCTTCTCATTAGGCTTGTGCTCCAGACCATTCACCAGGTTCATTGCCCTTCTCTGGACTCGCTCCAGCACCTCAATGTTCTTCTTGTAGTAAGAGGCCTAGAACTGAACACAGTATTCCAGGTGCAGCCTCACCAAGGCCAAGTACAGGAGGACAATAATTTCTCCGGTTCTGCTGGCCACGCTATTTTGGATGCAAGCCAGGATGCCATTGGCCTTCTTGGCCACCTGGACACACTACTGGCTCATGTTCAGCCAGCTGTTGACTACCACCGCCAGGTCCTTTTCTGCTGAGCAGCTTTCCACCCCAAGCCTGTTGCATTGCATGGAGTTATTGTGACCCAAGTGCAGGACCCAGCACTTGGCCTTATTAAACCTCATACAGTTGGCCGGAACCCATCAATCCAGCCTGTCCAGGTCCCGCCGTAGAACATTTCTGCCCTCAAGCAGATGAACACTCATGCAATTTGGTATCGCATCCAAACTTATTGAGGGTGCACTTGATCCCCTCATCCAGATAATTGATAAAGATATTAAAGAGAACTGGCCCCAACACTGAGCCCTGGGGAACACTACTTGTGACTAGCTGGCAGCTGGATTTAACTCCATTTACCACTCCTCAAGCCTGGCCATCCAGTGAGTTTTTTAGCCGGTAAAGCATATATCCGTCCAAATCCAGGAGAATGCTGTGGGAAACAGTGTTGAAGGCTTTACTAACGTCCAGGTAGACAACATCCAGAGGCTTTCCCTCATCCACTAAAGAAGTCATAGAAGATCAGGTTAGTCAAGTAGGACCTGTCTCTCATTAACCCATGATGACTGAGCCTGATCACCTGCTTGTCCTGGGCATGCTGCATAATGGCACTCAAGGTGATTTACTCCGTAACCTTCCCTGGCACCAAGGTCAAAATGACCTCTTGGTAAGTTCAAGATCAGGTCCTATTTGCAGTAGACCTATACACAAGTCTAATGATAATTTTTATCTTTTACAGGCTGGTTACACCTCTGTTCAAGAGCTACAGCAGCATTTAGAACTCAAAAAGAGGGTTATTCTTGAATCTTGCAGAGCATTAATAGATCTTGTTGAAGAAAGAACCCATGTTCTACCAGCTGCAAAAGAGGTAAAATGCAGGAGACTACAGATCTCTTCTGAAATCTGCTGAGCTGTTTGTGCTTCCCTCAGCCACTTTTTGCTTCCACCAGTAGGGACTACCAGCATCAAAACTAATTAATCTGCTTCTTAAGTCTGGTTCATTACCTAAATCTCTATGTAGATTGGATTAAATTTAGTTGTCTTGTCTTGAAATTAGTTTGCACAATACCTATTGACAACTGAGTTTTATGGAGTAGCCTTTAACAAAAGAGTAACAAACAGTAGGAGTGACAGTCTTAATAACTGCCTGTGATCTAACATGTTATGAAAAAAGCTGTCATAAATCTGTGTAAGTAAAATTTATTTTATAACAGGGAAAG